GTCTGCCCCTGTTTGGGTCATACACCGGCATTGAGACCTCCGTTATTCCTCTTTCAATCATGAAGTCTCGTAGTCTTGTTAGTGCCAACATCACGTGTTCGGGATCAATTGTGTTCCTGTCATTGACCCTCGTCACTAGGAAGCACAGATATTTGCCCGGGACTTGTGCTACTGATGGTGGAAGCGCTGCCATCCCTCCTAGTCCTGGTCTCTGTCTGAACAGAAACTCCACGTTCTGGTACTCTCTTCTCAAGTCAGCTTCCAATCTTGATTTGAAACTCATGTTCGCCGTGATGCAGATCGCGCTAGTGCTGTTTGACAGGATGAAGTCACTATCCGTTATCATGATGTTCTACGAGTACTCATTGGGTATTTCAAATTTCGTTTTGAAATTCCGACCTATGGTAGGCTCCGGCTCTTCTTCTTCCAGTTCCAATTCGCTTGTTTCTCTCACTTCCTTGAGCTTCTTTATCATCAAATTTTCGGTGTGGGTAAGTCCTACCCCCACTCCCCGGACAACAATTTTTATCGACGTCCCCGTCGATGTTGTCGGGTCTGAATTGTCCTGAGGAATGTCCAGTGGCCTGTCTGTTGCCGTCCATCCGAAAAGAGGGTCCTCTGTCTTCATGTAATTTGCCGCTGATACATCGACTTGTTCAATGCTTTGTCCTTCGTGGCTCTCGTCTTTGACATCGCGCATCCACTCTAGTATCCTCAAGTTCGTGTTCTTCCTCCTCTCTATCTCACTCTGCTCGAGATCTGTCTCTAATTCCGGCGTCGAGTGGTCTTCCTGCGGATAGTGTCCACCATCGTCAATGACCTGCCATTCCTCTCCGGCTTCCAGTTCGCCTGCGCTCAGTAGTTCCTCGCCCAATTTGTCTGGCTGTATCTTATCGATCAAGAAGTCATCCCCGTACCTGTTGTACCTCATGCCGGTGCGTTTAAGATTGCCAGTCCTGGTTTTCGGTGGTGTCGGTCGATCCGGCTCCATCCACTTCGGCACCTCATCTTGCTCCGGGTCGTTCCAGTCTTCTTCTACAAATGATCCTGCATCAGACTCCCCTCCTATCTTTTCGTTGTCGTCCAAACTCAAGTTCTCATTACCATCATTTTTCTCTCTGGTGCCTTTTTCATTCACTTCACACGCTGGCTCTACCACCAGGTACTCAAGACCCTCCATGTCCTTCGGTATGCACCAATCCTCTGGGGACGGGACGTGAGGCTTCAGATTTTTATAATGTGCCGCTCGCCCAGTACTCAAGCGATAGAACCGTCCTTGTTGATGAACCTCCGTTATCATGAATGGTCCCCTCCACTTCTTGAGTAGTTTCTTTGTTCCCTTGGGCGGTATGACATTTTGGAAGACCCACACGTATTGGCCCACTTCATATGGCTTTGCTCGTAATATTTTTTCGTCATATTTCCTGCGTTGCCTCATTTGCGCTTGCGCCGTGTTCCTCCTGCATAGCTCGTTCAACTCCTGTTTTCTTTTGATCGCTTCTTTCACGTATGCCTGAGGCGACGTCCTTTTCCCTTCGTATTCCGGGTAAAAGAATGTCAGAGGCATTGCTCTCTCCCTGCCCGTCAACATCATGAAAGGACTGATGCCCGTCGTTGAGTGCTGTGTACTGTTGTAGGCTCCTACTACCTATGGCAGATATTTGTCCCAGTCCGTCATGTATCTTGAGCAGTACACCCTTAACATGTTGACCAGTGTCCTGTTCTGTCTCTCTACCAACCCATTGGTCTGTGGATGATAGGTCGTCGAGTGTGCTTGAGCAATGTGCGATCTCTTCATCAATTCTTTTGTCAAGTCCCCCACGAAAGCTTTGCCGTTGTCCGACTGGAAAGTCATTGGAAAACCATACCGCGATATCCAATGCGTTATCAGATGATCACATGTCTCTTCGGCCGAGGCTGTCTGGCACGGAACCGCTTCCGCCAACTTTGTGAAGTGATCTATTATAACCAGTATCTGGTTATATCCCGACTCTGTCATGCAGATTTTTTGATGGTCTATCTGCACCACTTCATTGAACTCTGAGCTCTCAACGGACTTGAGGGGAAACTTCATCTTCCTTGGGTCTTTTACCTGGAGACATGCCAGGCAGGCATTCACCCATCTCTCGCAAGCTTTTCTCATTCCTGGCCAATCAAACCTGTGAAGTATCCTTTGTTGTACTTTGTCTATCCCCTGGTGGCCCATCTGGTCGTGTGATCTGAAAAGCACCTCCGTCTGGTACAATTGTGGTAGTATGATGAGGTTGTGTTTGTGTAATATCTTTTCCTCATCTCTCCTCTTGCACGCTACCACCCCATCAGCTGTGTGATAAAGTAAGTCTTTCTTTTCTTTGTAGAACTGGCTCAAGATCTTGTAGCTGTCTTCCTCAAGTTCCCCCTTCTCCTTGACCCCCGACTGGATCCATTTGGAGAGGTTACTTGTCATTTTGTCATTCTTCTGGGCTCTCATTAGGTCTGACAGCCTATATCTCGCCTTGACATGCTCCTTTAGCGCCATGATCTGTCCATTCATCTCACCAGGGTTGTGGATGTCATCACTCAGTTTCACGCATATCATCTTTTTCACGATTTTCATATCATCTTCTGGCTCCAGATTCGTTCTGATGTTTGAGTTGCATGATAGTTCCCTGAATGGTTTCCTTGCAACCGCAATTTTCTCAAGTTCCTCACCACCTCGCATCTCCTGTATGTCCATGTTGTATGTTCCTGAAGATGGATCCGTCTGTAACTCCCTGTCGTGGTGCCTTGTCTTCTCTTCCGCCAATATCATGCACAGACTGTCTTGGTTTTCGCTGCTCTCATCCGAGTCTTCATCCCATCCTTCACGCTCCCCGGACAATTTTCCTTCTCCGGTTCCTTCTTCCGTGAACCTGGAACACTCCCCGGACTCTTGACCTAGTCCCAGGTGTTCAGTATCTTCTTTGAACGTCACTTTCTTTTTCCTAACCTTGGTCTGCTCCAGAATGTCTTCGGGGATTTTGTCAACTAGTGACCGCACGACATCCTTGCTGTCAGTGACGCTTCCTCTTGATGAGTTAGTATCGTTCACTGTCTCTTTTCTCCGAAGTATAGTGACTTCCGGTTCCTCTTTACCCTTCTCTTGGATCACGGGCTTATCATCTGATAGTTTCTCGAGCAACCTCATTAAGTCATCATCTATCTGTGCAGTTCCTGCTTCCACCTGGTTAAGATCATAGCCTTTTGCCTTGAGCGTCTCCTTCACGATCTTCGACTTGAGTATAATCTCAATCGGAATCCTCTTGCTCTTCTTCAAGATGGTCTTCTCTGGAGGCTCTTTAGGCAATTCAGGATGATCTTCTATCGGTTTGCCTGACTTGTCCAGCCATCTCGTGAGTGGAAGACTGTCGTACGTTTCCTTGTCCATGAATGAGAAGCCATCTTTGATTTCAGGTCTGTCTGCTTCTCTTTGCTCTTGTCTCTCATAGAACTCCGTCTTCTTACTCAAGCTGTCGGCATTCTGATGTTTTTCTCGCGTTCTATGCTCAATTATCATGTTGTATCCGTCCAGGCGAACTATCCACCTCCCAATGTAACTTTGGTACATTGAGTACGTTTTCAGCCAGCTCAGTGCTCTGTTGTCGACTCGCAACTTGAATGGCTCACTGCCCAGGTATGCCCTGTATTTCTCGACAAAGGTGACCACTGCAAACATCTCTGCTTTCGGTGCTCCGTACTTCATTTCTGTGTCACTTAGGACTTTGCTCCCGTACGCTATTGGTCTCAAGACTGTCTTCCCATTCCATTCTTGTTCTTGGTGGAGAATCCCAGAAATCGCGACTACCGACGCATCCGTGTCCAGCACGTACATCCCCTTCTCAGTCGGCATACCCAGTACTGGTGCCTCACATAGCTCTTTCTTTATTCTCTGGAATGACTCTTCTGCCGCGTTGTTCCACATGAACTTCTTGCCCTTGTGTCTCATTAATTGTTGCATCGGGTATACCTTGTCCGCATAGCCTTTGATGAATTCTCTATAATAGTTAGCGAAACCCAGGAAGCTCATCAACTGGTGCTCTGTCTTCGGTGACTTCCAGGTCAGGACTGCTTCCACGGCGTCCGCATCAGGTCTGATGCCGTGCTTGTCTACCATCCTGCCCAAGTATTTTATTGAGTCCTTAAGTATCTCGCACTTTGATGGTTTACACTTTAGCCCCGACCTCTTCATGCATGCAAACACTTCGTCAAGTCTCTCAATGTGGTCTTCCAGTGTTGGCGTCGCTATTACCACGTCATCCACGTAGCACATTACCAGGTTGCCATACTTCTTCGTTACGCCTATCAGCGCGTGTGCCATCAACCGCTGAAACGTGGCTGTGGCATTGCAGAGTCCAAACGGCATCCGTTTCCATTGAAACAGACCCAACTCGCAGGCAAACCCTGTCTTGTCCCTGTCCTGCTTCCTTAGTGGTACTTGCCAAAAGGCCGAGCCTAAATCAAGAGTCGTAAAAAATTTTGCATCACCTAACTTCGAGAGGCTCTCATCAATCCTAGGTATGGGATAGGCATCCTTCGCCGTGACGGAGTTCAGGTATCGAAAGTCACAACAAAACCTCAACTGGTCGCCTTTCTTTTTGGCCATCACTACTCCACACGCCCACGGTGACTTGGATGGTTTTATCATGTCATACTCTAGTAACGTTTCGATCTCTTTTCTACACGCCTCCGATTTGTGCGGGGTCATGCGCCTCGCCCCCTCCCTGTGCGGTACCGCGTTCTCCTCAAGTTCTATTTCATGCTCAACGAAATTACAACACCCGATATCCGCCTTATGCCTCGAAAAACTTCCTCGTTCCGCTCTAGTACGTCCTTGATGGCTTCGAGCTGTTCATCTTTCAGTTTGCCCCTCAAATGTTCAATCTCCGGCAGAACCGGTTTATCAGTTTGCATTTCATCTAGTGTGGGTCGCTCTGGAAAGTTCGAACAGCTCGACAGCCCATCGTCCGTTTCTGACTTAAGTGATTTAATAAGACCTGAAGAATCTTTTATTTTCTGCAATCGTCTCAAGATACAAATTTTGTCCCTGTGATTGGGACAATCAACAACTTCATTTTGTTTTGAGTTCTCAATTGTTTCATATCGAGTTTTAACCGGTAAAGCATATCCCAGTTTCCTCCCTCTCTGTATCGTGATCGGTATATCAAGGGTATTCAACTAGACACTGACGCAGAGGCCGCTCTTCGTTATCGAGAATGATCTTCCTAAAACAGCAGCAATTTGACTATTAGGATTCGGAACTATACACACTTGCTTGTTGTCACTTAGTTCATTGTAATTTTTCATCCTCAAGCTTACGATTGCCGCTTCATTAGCTTTTAGCCTCACCCTCCTACTCAAGAATACCGGTGCTTTGTTTTCATTTGCCATTATTAAATTTACCGGTTTGATTGCGTACCTCCTATCCGGGTTCCGTATGTTTGCAGCTGACAGCCGTATTCTCGAGTCTATCAAGTCACCTTTGTCAAAGCCCATCCTTTCCCAAGTTTCGATTGGTATGACGCTCAAGACTGCTCCCGTATCAAGTAACCCACGCAACTGAGTCTTTTTGCCACTTATATCTAGCACGTGCCCTGTCACATCTGCCTCCGTCCCGATGTGCATTGCATCTTCTTCAAGCATGGCGCAGTGTCCAATCGATCTCACTTTCAACTCTTCTTTCCCTACGTAGATTTGCCCAATTAGGTCTTCGTCACATGTTATCATTGTCTTGGTATATATGTTGATCCCATCTATATTTAGCATCACCTCGTGTGGACCATAAGCTTCAGTATATCTGTTATCAACACGTACCGACTTGCTGCCCCCTCTCATGAGTAGTGCTCTCAGCGCTCTAGAAGTCGTTTGTGGGCTTATACCACTCAAGTAATCTGCGTACACGTCAATGTGCATTATTGTCTGGTCGCTCGGTTCGCTCGGTTCGCTCAAGTTTCTGGTTACCTCGTGGCCGCCCACTGTGATTATCGACATTATTCTCGCCCAATTTTCGATATGCCGAATGGCTTTCCCGTCACCATTTTTACAGTGTTACAATTCCCGGTTTTTGTTGAGCCCGGTACAGCCTCTGGTGTTGGGTTCGATCCGGTTAATGCTTCGTTAAAATTCTGTCTTTCGATCTCCAGCTTTAATCGTTGCTCTTTTTCTTTCGCAGCCAGATCCTGTTTCACTTTGGCAATTGCCTCCGTCGCCGCTTTCTCATAATTTATCTCTAGAGAATTCCCGGCCGCGGATTCTATCGCACCATTAACATGTGTTACAGCTTTCACTGTCTTCGTTGGCAATTCCGTGCTTGGTGCTCCTAAGTTCCTCGATTCAAACTCGTTTTGCCTGTTCCGCTGATTCTGCACCGCCGCTAATGCCAACTTATGTTTGGGGTGACTCTGGTCCTTGACCGCTTCCCAGAACAAGGGACAATCCATTCTGAAGTGCCCCTCCTGGTTACAGAAGAAGCATCTAGCGCCTATCTTGATGATTAAGCCATTATAGTACTCGTGTTCCTCCATCTGGCTCATGTCCTCCTCATCCGGTGCGTATCCTAGGCTCTTCATGCCTTGTTTGTATGTTGTGCAGTCAGCCACGTGGTGGTCCGCTGACCCGCAGTTCGCGCATGATCTGCGCTTGTCCATATCATCTCTAGGTTTGTACCATGATGACCTCTGGGGTTGGCCTCCCCCCTGTGTGTTCCTGTTTTCTGAATATGAGTATTTCTTGGGCTTCATCAGCATGTATTCCCTTGATTTCTGTCTCATTTCTTCTGGGGTTGGTGCGCTGTCTTTCGACAATGTGTAGTATGTTGCTAACATTGTCCTTAAGTCGTCACTTTTTACCCCATCAATGAACTTCGAGGCAATGCTAAAGTTTCTTCTGTTTGTCGACTCCTCTGGGTCACTCCTTCTTCTCAAGCTCTCGAGATCATCTAGGAACCGATCTATTGACTCGTCGTCCCTCTGCCTTCTCTTTTCAAATCGCATCATCGCTTGGTGACCCTTCATGCCTGACCCGAATCGATTCAGCAATATCTCGAAGATTTTGTCCGCGGTGTCGCGTTCTTCTTCTTTCTTTGCGACCACGCATTTTAATGCCGTGCCTTCTAAGTTGCTGAGTATGGCTGTGCATGCTTGTCTTTCATCATTTAAGTTATCTTGCTCTAGGTGTAATCTCATCACTTCCACCCAAGTGTCGATGCATCCATCGGAGTCGTCTTTGAATTCCTTTGGCTTCTTGAAAGTTTTTCTTGATTTTCCGTCCCTCCTATCGCTCGAGTCAGTGTTCCTCGTGGCGAAGGCCTCTAGAGTCCTGTTCATCATCTCCCAAGTGCTTGCCCATGTCATAGCATCCGGACCTGCGTTGCTGTTAGCTGTTGAGTCCCCCGGGCCAGTCGTTGTACTTGACGTTCCATTCTTCATGATTGTTTTAGCAGCTGTTGGTGCTATGCTCACCGTATCCCGGGTTAAGGGCAACGGTGTCGATTGCCGTTTGCCAGTTTGTGGTTCCACAAAGTCAACTCTGGTGCCTTGCGTGCGATCCGCTGCCGGTCTCTCTTGTGAGGTAGAATTTCTCAAGATTGCATCCAATTTCGTCTGTATTGCACATGAACTTTCGGCCTGAATTTTGCTCATTGTGTCCATTCTCTTTTCCAGGCTACCTAATTGGCTGTTGACATCATCATATCGGTTTTTCAACTGTTGCATATCTTTTTTGATGTTCCTATCTCGTTCTTCATTGGTGGTTTCTACCTTATCTGTCATCTCCTTGAGTCTCTCGTCTGTTGCCTTAGCCAGGTTAAAATAACTATCCAGATACTCGTGTTTAATGTATCTTAATTCTTTTCTTATCACTTCTCTGTCCTCTTCGCTGTGCTTTAGTTTTTTGTCGATCTGATTCAGTTTTGCCATCAAGTCACCTAGCTCAAGAGTAGCCTCTTCATGGTCAGCCGTCGGTCTGTCTTTGGCCGTTGCTTCTGCTTTAGTTTGTTCCTCTCTTGGATTGGCTTCTGTCGTCTTCGTGCTCACTGTCCAAAATGTTCGTGCTCTTTCAGCTTTTGGTTCTTCAGTCATGTTTTCTTTCGTTTTTATTCCGACCATCATCGCCAACTTTTCTGTAAAAGATGTCTTTTTTACTTGAGAGTCTTCTTTCACCGTTTCTTCGGTGTTGCCTATTGCATCTTCCACATTGTCTATTGGTGAGAACTCTATGGGTTTCGGGTTTGGTTCTTCTGCATTGGGCATTGGAGTTGACTCCGTCGTCTTTTTCTCCAGTTCATCTACGCTCTGGTCTGGTGTCTCTAGTTCGATTTCGATTGTAGGCTCCACCTGTTTTTCCCTCGCATCTTCTCGCGTCTTGCTCTCGGTGCCACTCCTCGTGCTGACCATGCTAACTGAAAAGTTATTTTTTGTTTTGCCTGGGCCCCTTGATGTCGTTCCACGCAGCGACGAGTTATATTTCGTGTTTGATCCACTTGACCTTTTTTCGAGCACCGGTACCCTACTCCGTCTCATTATTTCTATTTACAATTGCTCTTATTTACAATATTATTATATACACAAGTCTATTCTAAGAATAAAAAATTTTGTGGAAACAAATTCTTAAAAGAAAATATACAACGTGATAAAAACCTTGTTCCAGTTCTCTTTCTAAAATCTTTGAGTAACTTTCTTTATTTGTGGTCCCAACCGTACCGGGTTCCAATTAGTCTTGTTCTGTCTTAATTCTGTCTTAAAACAACTTGTTGTAATTTTACTTCAATTTTTATACTGTCCTAAGACTTCCAGTTACCGTCCCTACTCTTCTTTGTACCGTCCCAGGCTTCTTTCTACTGTCCCAAGACTGTTCGGTACTGTCCCAGTACTTCGTCAGTGTCCCAAGACCCTTGTCCTGAGAGTACTATCCCAAGGCTACTGTCCCAAGGCTAGTGTCCCAATACTAGTGTCCCAAGACTAGTGTCCCAAGACTACTGTCCCAAGGCTAGTGTCCCAAGACTACTGTCCCAAGGCCAGTGTCCCAAGACTACTGTCCCAAGGCTAGTGTCCCAAGACTACTGTCCCAAGGCTAGTGTCCCAAGGTTAGTGTCCCAAGACTACTGTCCCAAGGCTAGTGTCCCAAGACTACTGTCCCAAGACTACTATCCCAAGGCTAGTGTCCCAAGACTAATGTCCCAAGACCCTTGTCCCAAGACCCTTGTCCCAAGACCACTGTCCCAAGACCCTGTCCCAAGACCCTTGTCCCAAGACCACTGTCCCAAGACCCTGTCCCAAGACCCTTGTCCCAAGACCACTGTCCCAAGACCACTGTCCCAAGACCACTGTCCCAAGACCACTGTCCCAAGACCCTTGTCCCAAGACCCTGTCCCAAGACCCTTGTCCCAAGACCACTGTCCCAAGACTGCTGTCCCAAGACCCTTGTCCCAAGACCCTGTCCCAAGATCCTTGTCCCAAGACCACTGTCCCAAGACCACTGTCCCAAGACTGTATCAAGACTGTTCTGGTCCAACACTGTCCCAGGACTGCACTGTCCCAAGACTGTCCCCAGACTGCTCTGTCCCAAGACTTCTTTGGCACTGTCCCAAGACTGTTGACAAGTGTCTGAGCGGTGGGACCTCTTTCTTCTTCGTTATGGGGACTTCTTGATTCACTGTACCTCGTGCCACCACTCAAGCTCTAGTAAAATTTTCCCAAAAACCCTCTCTTAAAAGCCAAATGCTGACCCCCCTTTTTCTTATTTCTTTTTAATTACCTCTCTTTCAATGTTCCAGGCTACTTGAGACCAAAACCTGTGCGCAGGTATCTTGTGATCACCTGTTCGTATAAAAACTAAACACAAATCCTCACCAAAATGCAACAAAAATCCAAGCTAGAAAAAGTAATAAAAACGGAAAGATGAGCCCACCTAAAATTCAAAGGTGACCAATGTCTACCTTTTGTCGAAGAAAAAAAAATTTTTGTCTGGTACCTAATTGCCACGCGTTTTCCTCCCCC